TCCAGCTATGGACTGGCTGTCCTCCTCCTGGCGTGCGGTTTGGTGAGGGATGCCTTGTTATAATTTGAAGAACTGACATGGTTTGTGCCCAGATCTTGCTTCTCCCCGTTTGCTCTCAAAGCGAACAAGAAATTGCCTGTTTTATTTTGATTTTTCCCTCTTCCACCATGCGGACAGCACAGTTGGCCCTCATTTCCCAGCCACCACTGCTCTTGCACCCAGCACATTGTTATTAGCCACTATTAACACCAGTCACCTTTAAACCAGTTGGATTACCTTTTGTACAGACGTCAACTCGACACCATCTGACGGTGCAAGGCTCCGCTGTGAAAACGGACTCTGTATCTTGATGGATCTCTCTCATGGAGGAATGACTTTCTTATGGTTTCGCTGTTCCTGTTCATGTGTACATTGCTCAAAAGTGAACAAGAAAAAAGGAGAATCTACATTTGTGTAATATATATGATTCTAGATATCTATGTTTTATTTGAAACACTGAGGATTACTATTTGTGCTGTATACATAGCTCACTTTATTGGCCATAGAGCTTCATTGTGAATAGGCACTCTGGCCCTCTTAAAAGGAACAAAAGATCTTTCAGTACACATTAATTTAGACTGTTAGAAAGTTAACCATCAGGTTAAAAAGGTGAAATTTGCTGTATTAACCATCCAAATGATCTAATGTGCATAATTTAACATGTTGTTAGTGATACAGGTGTGCATGCTTATTGATCTGAAGGCTAAAACAGAGGGGAGCATATGTTTTTGGAGCTATGTGAGTCAGCACTTGGAGTTTAGTGTTACAGTATGTTGAATTCAGCTTTATTTTGATGTGCTAGCCTCGCTGTGAAAAAAAAAAAAAAAGAATAATTACTGTCCCTTGTCATTTTTAGTTTGTATTGCATCCTCTGTAGGAATAAAAAAGGATGTTACAATTAATGAGTCATTTAAAATCCTAATATGTGACCATTGGATGATTAATTTTAATCCACTTGCACCGTTTTTTAACAGCATGCTCCAGTTGCTGTGCACCTCCCTGGTGTGTCTCATTATTGCAGAAGGGTGATTGAGGATTCATCTACTTATAGATACTCTTGGTTTGTATAATGCTAATGCAAACACATGCATTTGCACTGATAGATGTGTGGTTGGCCCCAATGTGCCATTAGACACCATGCGACGTGCATATGTGGAGCAATTCCTCATTGTATATGAGCTTATGTTCAGAAGAAATGAGTTAGTTTTGTTGAAATTCTCTCTCCTATATTTTACAGCGATATATTTTTAGCTTTATTTTCAGATGATATATCATAGAGATTTTTATCCACACAGAGCATTTATAAGCAAAACGCTTTGACAATCTGACACAAATACAGACAAAGGTGTTTTTCGGTCCCACAGCGCTAAAGCGTCAGATTATTACAGTGATGCAGTATAAGCTGGGAAATAAATGGGATTCTTTCGTTGTTGTTAACTTTTGAGCTGAAAAGGAGATTGTGCACCATCCATCAGAAAGGCAGTCGTTCCAACTCAAAGTGAAATATTTATGAATAATAGAGTAGTTGATTTATGTCTCAAGAGCTGTAAGTGAATGTTACCCACCATGAGGATCATGCTGCTGGAGTGCAGCAGTCCCCCTGCAATAAGATCAATATTTTCTTTTGGCAGACATTGATCCCTAAGCACATTCTATTTTTTTGCTCGGTTGATGCCCAAGATTGACACCGACCTTAAGCCAACATGAAGCATGAAAATGTACTTTCTCATGTGTTGTATGGTATAATCTAACATGCAAACAGATGCCAGTGATCACTGTGCTGTGTGTTTCCAAAAAGGCTAAATACTCACCGCCCTCCGAGCTTTTATTCTGCTTCGCAGTCAAAGCAACAATCCCTTCTGTATAGCTGTACTGCATTCCCAAAGAACTGTTGGAGGAGGGGTGTGTGGAGAGGACTTGTTGATTCAGCGCCGAGGTTCAAAAGGCTGAGCGTGTCATGCTTTGGGATCTGACGAGAGGCATCTACTGATCAGCAGCTTCCAGCCGCGGTACAAGATGAGCCGACGATAGAGGGCAACCCTGTCTAATCCATCAAGTTCAAAACAGCCCCAGGGTGTGTTTGGACAGTTAATCTCGCATCACTATCATATATAAATAAGCCACTCTGCAGCGACTGGAAATGGATTGCTGTGTTTTGAAATGTAAAAAAGATTGAGAATGTTTAGTTTGGAGAAAAATACAGCTTATTTTAGGGTGGGATTTGGATGTTGAGTGTGTTGGAGAGTGTGGTGGAAAGTACGAGTGGACAGCTTGTCCAACCCTCATGTAAAAAGTTACAGATCTGTACAACTTGTAAATGAAATAATCAGCATGTTAACATGTTTTTTTAATCCATTTAAAAAGGCAGAGGCCAATGATGTTCTGTACTTGTAACAATGGTGTCATGTACTCATATTCAAGTGTTAACAAGTCCAAAGTGGGTTTTTTCATCTCTTCAAAATGAACTTGGATAAAAATGTATTTGACAAAAAAATGTATCTATATATATTAGTAACATCTCCTTTACAAAGCTTCATCCTAATCCAGGGGACTCGTATCCGTGGGCCCTTGCAACGTGTTAAATAACAAAGAGGGGGAGATGGAGCGACGATTGGTTTGATCAGAATGATGAAAACTGACACTGAGTATAAAAAACTGAGTCATGAGTTTGAGATGTGACGGAGGCTGAACAAAGTCTCTGTTACCAAAGAAGAGAAGAGTCCACTATGATGGCTAGAGCAGCAGTTCCTTCATCCAGGGATGTTATTTCAGAAACATCACACAAGCATTTCTCCGTTCTGTTTTATATGCCACTCTACCCATCCACTCTAGATGTATTTGTTTCTTCTAATGTATTTCATTTCAATGCGGTCCTGTCTGTTTGTTGAGCTGTCAAAAATTCTGATGAATTATAGTTCTCTCTTTTCTTTGGTATTGTGTGAGGCTTCTGTACTGGAACATTGCAACAGTTTGTATTATAATGACGATATCAGAATAATATTTAAATAAACCATTTTCACAGATGAAATTCAAACACTGAAGGGCTCCATCTGTTTGCTTGGAGAGCACACTGAGCTTTTAAAGGGAGCGCTGACTACAGCAAAACCTGGCTTGGTTTCCAACTCTGAAGACAGTTGCTTTTTTTTTGTATTAGTCAAATCACTTTTCATTTAATTTTGCTGCAGAATGTTATTCAAAATTAACTGCTCTTCATTAATGCAGCTGCTTAGGAATGAGGGAATAGAAAACAATAGGAGAGAATGGCTGTAATAGAAAAGTGGAGCAGAAATGTGCGTGATTGCTGAGTGTATAGCTGCTGATTGGCATGGTTTTTAGATGACTTAATAATCATTTCACAACAGCCCTAATGTGTTTGCTGAGATAAATATGCTGTTGGAGAGGATTGGAGCTTTAAAACACTTGGCATCAAGCTTTGATGCATTGCTGTATATGACTTATTTTACAAGGCTGATGCAGAAGTGGTGCTGAATAGGCCTCTATACGCTTTCCTAAACTCGTGCCCTCATCAATATAACATGGTGTACACTTGATCATATACAAGAGCGAGCATTTGCAACATTATGTTAGCACCTCTTCTATGTATTTGTGCTGAGTTATGAATACAACAGGACTGAATTGGCCTCCATAGACACTGATTTATTACATTACTCTGAATAACTCAGCTGTGAAAGTCATCATAATGAGATTATGTACACTTTATCAGCATGCAATACTGAGCCTTTCACTAATATTAACAGAGTCTGTTGTGTGCACAGGTGCTTCTGATTGAAACCAGAGGGACAGATTGGGCCTACACAGACATTAGTACACAACTAATTATCTCCCTAAACTGTAAATCACCATAATGATTACTACAGTGTATCCATGAGTTATGCTACAATGGAACTCAGTTTTTGATTTTTATACAGTTTCAGAATTACAAATACAAAAGGAAAAAAAAGAGCTTAGACTTTTTGCAATAACTTTGAGAGTTTATTTTTTTATTATTTCTATTTTTTTTCCCATTTCCAGGCTTCATATTGTCCTTACTGTAGAAACTGTAGGCTACATGACTTACAGATTATGTATTTGTATATACATCTATATCAGGCTGATGTCTTTATGAAACCTCTGAAATGCCTGTTTTAGCTACTTGACCAGTACCCTGGAAGCCACCTCCACTGTTGTCATGCCGCTGAGCCATTTACAGTGACTAACTGGTGTTTCTCCATTTAAATGACAAATGACAGGGGTGCCCACAGCCAAGTGGTTTCAGCACCCCATGCATTGAGCCTGTAGTTCTTATTGCAGTAGTTCCAGTCCTGTCTTTATCTGGTGAGGTTGGAGGGGTAACATTAGTTAAATCCCCAGCAGCAACGAGCAGAGCAGGGTGTTTCTTTTTCATGCTTTTTAAATATATGTATTTTTATTTTTATTGTTACTTTAACATGTTTGGCTGGGGCCAAGCACAAGAACATTTGCTGAACCAGAGTTAGCTATGAAACTAATTTGCATCTCTGGTTCCTGAGCAGAAAGAGCTAAAAACATTATACATACATACAAACAAACAAACAAACAAACAAACAAACAAACAAATAAAAAAAGACTTCTCATTATGAGAAATTGATTGGGTTTTTTAAAATGTTAATGACTGTCTCTTAGTAAAGGGGATATCCACATTTACACATTACTCATTTGTGATTAAGGTTTATCATTATTATTACTATTAATTTATCTTTTATTGTCATGATTTTTTAATTATGTGCTGTTTTGTTCCTTTTTGACACACTATGGTCAGGCCAGCAAAATATGCTCCTTTTTTCTCCTGCTACCATGATGGAAGGTAAGGGCAGGACTTAACTTTTAACTTTTAATGACAACAAAAAATCCTAAATAGTGAAATTATAGTCATCTCTGAAGTACTTCATGTTTGGGCTGCCATGAATGAGCTAAGCATCCAGGTGCAGCCACTGAGACCAGTGTTTACACTCAACCAAACAATTAACTATTGCGCTTGATAAACGGGTGGCAACTGAATACACACCAGACTACCCTCAAGAAACATGTCAAGGGGACACCCTTGGGATGGCATAATGTATGAGATTCCCAATTCAAGATGGCGGTCAAAATAATGATTTGAAAACTGTTCTGAAAAATGCTAAACATGCTTTTAAATTTTTTTTTAAGTTGTACTTAACTACCGCTTTTTTTTCCAGTGCACTTTACAATCTGGTGCGCCTTATGTATGAAAACAGACGCGAATAGACGCGTTCATTGATGGTGCGCCTTATAATCAGGTGCGCCTTGTAGTGCGAAAAATACGGTAATTAAATTCAGTGGTTAATCATCGTTTTTTTCCCCATGCCAATCACCCAGCCAACTTGACATTTTCAGACGAAAAGATTCAGTGTTAGAAACAACCAGACTCCTTCCAAAAAGGTTTCCATGACATTGGAGCAGGTGACATGAGGAGACAGACTAGGACTTTGTGGGTGAGATATCTAATCGGTCCTTCTGCAGGTCTCTTGGTTTTGGGAGTCAGCCTCCATCACTACAGCTGTGGGAAGCAAGAAACTTCTTTTTTAGTTGGTAAAAAATGGGCCTGTCAAATCTTATCATCCTTTCATCAGTTTGAAGGACAAGATAGAGGAATGGAAAATAGAGGGAGAGGGGAAAAAAAATCCTCTTTGGAACTCAGGAGTGAACTTGGCAGCAACAGCTCAGCTAATCAGGTTTACTTCATCAGTGCATTCAGATGCCAAAGCTGGAGAAAAGGCAAGAGAGGGGGAGAGATAGACGAGCAACAATACAAAATTAACCCCCAGCCCATGTTTGTTAATTCAGCACGCAGTGATGGTTATTTATGTGGAGGGAAAGTGAGGGCAAAGCACCGGCCTGCCTCTGGCACTCTAATCAAGCCGCTGGTTCTATTGCAGCTCAGAAAAAGAACGATGGAGGGGATTATTGTATGACTAAGCCTGTCTGCTCTTGCATATTCAAATAAGTTGTGTTGTGGCAATGTCGATGAATCACAGATGGCCAAGATTTATAAGCCTTTTTATATGCTACCACTGGAGAAGAAAACATCTACACTCAGATAATGATTTATATTTTCATACGCTCATAAAATATACATGTGTACGATGCAGAGACAGGATCCACACTGAGTGAGAGAGCTAATGTGATTCCAGCCTTAATGCTATGCACCCCACTGGTTGCTCTGCGTGGTGGAGGCAATGTGTTTCCGAGTGCTTTCTCACAGCTTGAGGATGACATTGTACATCAGATAACATGGGGAGGATCTTACCATAACAACAGTGTGAAGACGCAGAGGCCTAAAGGTTAGAGGAAAAGATCTGACAGGAGGAATTGTGCCAAGGAGAAAAACGAAGGAAACAAGGGATGCTGTCTCTCTGAGCAACTCGGCAAAGGTCCTGTTTGACAACCTCGTACTTGGTAACAAGTGCACTCAAGTGTCTTTCCATGTAAGTTTCAGGTTTAGGAAGGCTAAACCTCTTCAATCCACAATGTTTTTTCAAATTTTTTATGGGTGTCCCCTGTAAATGTCAAGGCAACAACCCAACAGCAATTTCAAATCAAACCCAGGGACATAACCAATCATTTAGAGTTGACTTTCACATGATATATGACAGATTTATTATTAGATGAGGAGGCAATCTACAAACCAACTTCTACTCACTTTCTTACAGCCGTTTAGCTGTTGGACTTCCTTTGTTCTGTTAAATACCACAACCTTGGCCCCTCAATGTCAAGGTAAAATCATTTAAACATCTCATGGTTGGGGCTTTATTTGCCATTTGCCAAACTTTTACAAAAGCTTTTTAATACTCAACTCGAATTCTGAACACCACTAAGGCTGATATTTGGTTAGGTTAAGAGTTACAAAACAAGTTTTTAATAATATTTTTATTATATATATATATATATATATATATATATATATATATATATATATATATATATTTATTTTTATTTTTTATTTTTTTTTTTTTTCAAATCACCACAAAGTCCATAAGAATTCACAATGAAGCAAGTTCAACATTTTTCATAGCTTAGCTGACAAAGCCCAACTAAGAGTTATTCAGGTTGACAGAGTTAAGATAAGGGTTTCTGCTACAAGGTTCGTACACATTCACATACGAGGGTGTTTAAAGTCCTTTGTAGGGCAGTATTCATCGTGCTTTGATTATAATCAAACAATAAATAAACACTATTATCCTGCTGTACTAGAAAATGGATAGGGATCACATATGAAGGCAGGTATTAACTCACTCGATTTCAATGACTTGGCAGTAAATGTAGGCAAGACCTGTGTCAGGGAGTCAGTCCAGGTTCACACAGTTAATAGTCTTAACAGTCTGGAGTAAAACAGTCACCCCCATTGCAATTTTATTTTAATGAGGACTCACCTCAATCTTGGACCCTGGGACAGGTCATGACAAAGACTTGAATCAAATCATTCTCTGGGGACTTGCACTTGACTTTGACTAAAACACTGAGGTCTTTAGACTTGGTTTGGGGACTTGACTACAGAACTAAGTTGACTCTTCATTACCCTTGTCCAGAGTCCCACCCAAGTAATGGTGACTTAGCTCAACTTGCCCTTTTTGGACTCTAGTAGGAATTAACACCATGGTTAAGACTTGAGTCACACTCATTATTGGGGGCTTGAGACACAACTCAGACCTAGGACCTTTACATCAGTAATGGGGACTTCACTGGAGTTGCTCTCTGGTGACTTGCACTTAAATCAGACCAAAACACTTCAGACTTCAAACGAACCTTAGGCTTGACATTTGCTGACTTGACTAGGCCAGTGGCTCAAGGTAATAAGGACTCAACTGTGATCCTGGTAATAAGGACTCAGAACTGACTTGAATTCTTCTCTGATGACTCAGGCTGGACTCAGAGAAGAATTCAAGGCAGCACTGAATCCTTATTACGGGGTCCTGGTTGAGTCCTTATTACCTGGGGTAAGACTCAGACTTGAATACTGGGGACTTAAGACTCGACTCAGACTCCAACTTTGGTGACTAGACTACAACAGTGGAATAGACACAAAGTATTTATGTCGAGGGCCAAAATAAAAAGTACTATTGGATTATGAAGAATAAAGCATGAATCAGAACATTTGTACCTCTCAGCAATACATGGAAACTTGGTCATATTCTGGATAGTTTGGAAATCCCAGAAAACAGTTTTCCTGCACCTAAGCATGATAAAAGGTTCTCTGTCAGCCACCAGATCCCACAGGCACCACCAATAAGACAGTGTCAAAGTGCTAACAAGCATTTCCACCCAAAGACATTTCAACAAAGGCAAAGCAAATGAAGGGCATTAAACTTTAGTGAAGTTTCTGTTGCCTGCCAATGTGTATGTGCTTTTAAGTTTTGAGTGTGTGTGTGTGTGTGTGTGTGTGTGTGTGTGTGTGCGTGCGTGCGTGCGTGCGTGCGTGCGTGCGTGCGTGCGTGCGTGCGTGCGTGCGTGCGTGTGTGTGTGTGTGAATGGTCCTGCATTATTTATTTGTGCTCATTAAAAGTAATCAATTGAAACTGGCATTGATGTAAGGGTCTTTATTGGGCTTTCAGGAATCCGTCACTGTAATGTACCGAGTGACTTTCTAACCCTGCTTGATTGTTTTGTTCCACAAAAACGCCCAAAGGAATGAAAATGTGTTGGTGCACACTCATCAATGCTAAGCATCTCTCAGCGCTAGGGGATTTATGAACCCCAAAGGCTTTGGAAGAAATTCATAATGGCTTATAAGGCAGCGTGGAGAGGTAGGTAAGGATGGCTGTCAATAACTGAATATAACAACAAGGGCTATGTCGGCTTAATTTGTGTTAATACAAAGCTCTGCGTTGAATACGACACTAGAAGGGAGGTGATGTACTGTAAAGGCAGTTATGTTCTGTGTCGTTATAAATGAGTACGTGGGTGTGTTGATTAAAAAAAACAGCCCAAGAGAATTGAGTGTTGAAAGTGTGTTGACGCCTGTCTCATTAACTATAAAACTCCAGACAGGCATGTTCTGTTCTCCTGAGCCCTTCCCTCATATGTAAACAAACAAATTAGTAACAATTCACCATCAATCATGGCCGTTGAATGATGTGTGTTCGTGCTCATGTGTTTTGGTCTACAGTAAACGGCTGCGTCTTTGTATTCAGTATTCAGTATGCAGAGGCAATGCCGTGATTCAGTTCAAAATCTAAGAACCATGCAAAATGAAGGACCCCTCCAGCAAAATCCTCCTTTCTCCTTCAAATCCTCACAGGATGCCATAGGGGGACGAGTGAAGGAAGTGAACTGCATACACAGGAGGCCGGAAGAGTGACACCCTGCTGTCAAATCAATTCAAGGTTGTTGTGGGGCATCTCAGGTACTGAAAACAAATCAGTGTCATGAATGTGAAAGCAGAAGACAGATCCCTTATCTTGTCACTGATGGGTTGCCTGCTGAAACCGTCTAAATTGCACTTAAATGGCGACATGACTTGGAGTCAAGTCTCTAAAGATGCTCCTGGTTGTACTTTCACATTTTAGAAAATGTGTTTTTGGCTGTTTTGGGGATTTGAATCAGGGATTTAAATTTGTCTTTAATATGAATCAGGCAGACACACTTACCCAGAATGTGTTTAGTTTAATTAAACACTTTGAGTGGAACTGGGAAAAAGTATCGTCGTCCTCCAATGACATTATAAAAACATGCCCTCAAGCTTTTTCCTTACAAGTATCACAAAAATATTTGGGCTAAGAAGACTGTAGGCATGTGTGGCTGGTTGATATTGAACAGAACACATTTTTCCCATTCTATGTCCACAGGTTTGAACTGTGTTGTCATGTAAAAAATGAAATCCTACATTATTTTTTTTTTCTCAAACACGCTTTCTATCACAGCAATCCTTAAAGGGATATTCCGGTGTAAAATTAAGCTAGGGTCAAACAAACCGTACCACCGAGTTAGACACCCGTCGAGAGACGAACGTTGCCGACTGCTTGCTTCTCTAGTTATACCAACTTTAGTAACGACCAAAGATAGCAATACAGAGAGCCATGCACGCAACCAAAAAGCCAATCTATAGCCACAAAATGGTCAGAATGCTCAGAACAGCACCTAACTTCATCAACAGTACATATAGGGTCCCAGCTATAGCACTAGCCACCAAACATCTTTTTAGCTTTGCCTGATTTCTTTAGCAAAGAGACTTAACACAATTCACCGTTTATCATCCAGCAGCCACTTGTTTGTACGTAGACCTCTGGGCGAGTCCATCAACTGCATTATTTGTGGCTATAGAATGGTGTTTGGTTGAGCGTGTGGCTCTCTGTATTGCTATCTGCAATTGTTACTAAACTAAAAAGCAAGCTGTCTGCAACATTCATCTCTCGACGGGGTGTCAAACTCAGCGTTATGGTGTGTTTGACCCTAACTTAATTTTACACCGGAATATCCCTTTAACTACTCATGCTGGTTTATGTGCAAACATGTTTATTCCAACAAGTAATTTGACGTTAAAAAGGGGGGAATCCAACACCATGGTCGACAACTCTATTAATAGCTGCAGGCCTGTTTCTACAAGGGTGCAAAAGCATGTATTACACTCTAATTTTACATTTCTTTGCCCTCAATAGAATGGACACAAAGGATTTTTTATTTATATTTTTTAATATCAGGTAAGAAGCGAGTCAGGTCATTTGCAATGGCAATATGCCCCAACAGCATGTGTTAACTTCAGTGAATCTCTGTAGCCTATTGTATTACAGTCTGAACGATCTTCATTAGGAGCTGCAAATGCAGAATCAATGCAAAGGTCCAAAACAAACACAATGACTGGAGTGCGCTGTGAATGAAAACAAAGGTGCTGCAAAGAGCCAAAACAACCTTATGAACAGCAGAAGTGCTGAAAAAATCACACAACAGCAAAATGCAGCTGCATAGAACGATAAAACAGAAGTGCTCTAAGCCTGTGCGGATGTCAGCCACTGTATTATGGAGTTGTTGTTTGTGTATGAAATACTTTAGGCTATTCATTAAATAAACTACCATGTTCTTCGAGCAGATTGTTTTCAACTTTATTCTCGTCGAGGTTAACATGATTAAAGACTGTGCTGATGCAATAGCAAGGTTGACAAGTCAAGATACTGCTCATGCAGAGCTACACAGACTGGGCTAAATTGTTAAAGTGGTAGATTTTGGGGAGCTTGTAATATATGGCATATGTGAAATATATGGCATGTTTATTTTAGAAAGCTATAATTACAGATTGCATTATAACTTTTCCAGGTCCATGAGCTGTAATAACTTTGTTCTCCTCAAAGAAGGATAAAAATGACAGAGAACCTGAATGTGTCCACTCCTGAAAAATCAGAGATGACAGTGAAATGAACGCAGATGATTTTCCAAATATAGTTTTCAGGCTAATTAGTTTGTTATTCAGGTGAGCTTCTATTATGATAAACAGTCAAAACCAAAATAGCTTCTTCGTTTTTTTTTGTTTTTAACTTCAGCCTCCGGCTAAAAGTAATTCATCACAGCTTCTCCCTCTGCGCCTGAGCCTGAGCCAACATCCATCGTGAAGGGAAAACAAGAGATAAAACAAATGAAAAGAAGCCTTATTTTTCTGAAGAAACATGAGAAGAGTGTGAAAAACGGGTTTATGTTTGGTGTGTTAATTTAGGCCTACATTTAGCAAAGATCCAATAACTTTTATAAGACGTTTAAGAAGAAAAGATGTAAAAAAAAAAAACTGGAATAATTAGACTCAAGTTATGCTGTTGTTTGTTTATCGAGGTGTGTGGTTGGACTTGACTGTTGCCTCTTTAAGCTGTATTAAAACTCATTAGTTCAATAACAGAGTTCCTAAGAAAACCACTCAGATGTTCTCAGCTGAGTCACAACCATTACAAAGATTTCTACTCAAGTTATTTGAGGTCATATGAAGTTACAACATGACTTTCTTTTCCTAAATCCTCTGGCAATCCAGGAATAGCATTAGGTAATTTGTAATTTGTTCAGACTAAAACAGAAAGATGAATATAATGAATTATATTCTTTCCCCAACAGGGAAAAAAAAATGCTATAATACTTGATTCAAGACGCTCTACAATGTACCCGATGGGAAATTTGCTATGGGCAAATTTTAGTGCTTCATCAAGCTGCATTTGCATTCTACAATACATCACCAAAAGGCAGGTTTTTACTACAACAAAGACAAGACAAATATCTTAAAAATGAAACCAAAAAAGATAGGAAAACATTATTCAACCTCGGCTTGCTAAAAGAAATGAATATATAAAGTTAACAGAGATGACAGATGTTGCATAAATTCATGAGTTTGGGCAAAACAAGTAAATATAACTTCATCCGAAAGAGCGTGAATCATTTCAGCATTCTAAATCCAGATGGCACAACCCTTGTAAGGGCAAAACATGTTAAGCATACTAGACAAAAAGTTATGCTGTTGAGCAACAGGGATGTTTGTGGCCCCGACATCACTCTCATCAGACTTAAAGAAACACCTTTGTGTGGCACAGATCCCCACCAAACATCATACTAAGCTAAAACAGTAACCAGGAATGTCTGTGGATGTTTTCTGTCCGTACTCAGAATCAAACCTAACTGTGTCTTCCTCCTAGTCTTATTTGAGTGATGTTGAAAGAGTTGAGAATGAATCAGTGCTCACAACAGATGTGTTCACATTTTTCTGATCTGTATTTCATCCTTAAGGTAGAAAATGAGGCCTTAAAACCAGACTCTGTACCACAGAAGAGATTAATGTTCAGGTGGGAATATCATCGTAAGCAGTACTAAAGCCTGATCTGACTCACAGGCCTAGAAAATCAATAATTTTCTGTGATGTGGCATGTCACACTAAATCATCAGTGCCACATTTGGGATGCTTGTCCATATGCTCTCATAGATGATTGTAGTTGAAAGTACAGAAATAAAGATGTTCTAGGAAACTGATGTTGGTCTCATATCATTAAAATCACAAAGCCCATTCTCATTATATACAGTAGCTAAAACGTAGATTGCCGTAGAACTCCAGTCAGGGGATGATAATGGGAGTAGGAGAAATAATTGGGTGTTGATGAATTTTCTGTGTGAGGGGCTCTAATAACAAAATAATGAAATAAATGAAAAGAAAGGGGCTTAACAGGCATTCTTGTCGGCACAAACTTGATAAATTAAACTTGTTTGATATGGTGCTTTTTGTTTCTATCATTGCAGATGGGTATCAACCTAACATTTTGACAGCTGTTAACATTTTGTATGTCGTCTAGCCCAACCCTCCTCCTCCAAGCATCATCCTGTTTGTTGTGAAAAGTGGTTGGGTAGGATTGTGACCTGGCCATTTAAACTAGGTTTACATGTGCCTTGTTATTTCCATAAACGGACATTTCACCCTCTCAGTTTACAAAAAAATTGATTAATAAAAACTGCATGCACAGCACTAAATTTTCAGAAAGGTTTTTGTTTACACTAACCCGTGTATATATGCAGTCAAGAGCATATCAAACCTGTAGGTGGCAGTGCAGTGAGAAGCTCAAGCCCATGTTAGCCAATCAGAATCCAACAACAACAACGTCACTTCCTTATTTCCGGCGCACAATCTGCTGTCGGCTACCCAAATGTCTAAGTGCACATGCAAACATGCAAACAGAGTTTTCCAAATTCCCCACTCTGGCAGGAGTTTTTAAAAGCATCGTTTTCACGGGCAAATTCTCCATTTGTGTCGAAGCCAAGGGTGCAAATGATGGTTAATGTCTCAGTTTTTAAAAATAACCGGGTATGTATAAACAGGACCTTAGCCTGAATTTGGCATCACTGTCGAGCCACCAGGTTGACTCAACTTTTTGTTTTGCATAAAACACATGCTGGTCTCAGATACAACATAGAACTTATAAGGAATCAGGTCACTTTGGGTGAATGACGTTGGTGCATATTATCTCACAGCTCCAAGTATAAAGATCTGTGACTCATCCACATATCATCAGAAGTTCTTTTGTATAACAATTTAGTTTCTCTAACGCAGTTAAAGAGGAAATAGATTCACTTACCAGCTTGAATAGGCATTTAAGTAATTTCCTCCTTTCAGGAGATGTGTGATACATTTATATAGAGGCATGGCAAAGAAAAATTTACACTTTACAGAGATCATATGCTGTTTCCATGGCAATAGCAGAACTATCACTAAGTCACTTGTTTTTATGTCTGATAAGTGCAAGCAAAAGAAAGTCAGAATTTTCAAACCGTTCAGAACAATGTGTATGAAGGTTAATTCATCTAACAGTCACCCCAGGCTGGGGTAACAGCTTGCAAGCCATAAAAGGAAGTGTTAGTGAAGCATGCCTTGCTACTTGCTAAATGCATCTGAGGTCTAGGAGGGTCTTGCAACAGTTTTAGGGAGACTTTTTAACACAGGCTAATTATCTACGCCACAATCAGCATCATACCAGATTAATTATATTATATAGGAATAAATATAAAGATCTTTAATGTCAAAGTTCAGAGTAGGACAAGACAAAACACAAATTTTTCCCCTAAGTTCTCCACAAACCTGACTGTTGTTATTGCGTTTTGGAAAATCATAAGAGAAATCAGATACTGTGCCAGCAGCACATCAGATCAGTTTCAACAGGGAAATGAATATAAAGCCTGTCAACTTCATATTAGAGAGTTAAGAGACAATACAACACGCAGAGTTGCAATTTTGTATCTAACAAATGAGATCCACAGCTCTGTTTATTTTTCATCTTGCTGCATTAATATATTACATGCTATATGCTGTATAGGCTACATAGTGCAAATTGTTGTTGAATTGATCTTCTCTTAGAGAGGGATTAGAGCAGAAGTAAGTTTTTTTTTAAAGCCACTGGATCCCAAAATCCACAATAGACCCTTTTCAAATGGATTTGAGTTTTGCTTTCTTGTCAGAAAGTTTATTGTGTCGGGAACAGAAATAAATAAGAGGTGATCTCAGTCAAGTCTTTGTTTACCTTTCTGGAAATGGATTTGAATAGTTTTTTTTTATTTTTTTAACTCAATTGTTTCATATAAAAATGAAGGAAAGCATCCTACCTATCAGTTATGGCAACAGTAACAGGATCCTGTGGTGATTGTTGATAGCTGTTTCCTCATTTAGCATTACATTCAGTGTCGAGAACAAAGATTATTGCAGCTTACATTGCATTAGGTAAGTTATTGAACTCTATGGACGGAGGCACATTTATAAATCACCATACAGTGATTGACTGCAGTATTTTCTTTTTCAAATGGGAGTGATTGACTCATGCAGCTAAAAAACCTCAAGCTGTACTATTCTGATTGTCACATGTTTTTGCCTTTAAAGGTGACAGTGAGATGAGGTGGCAGGGAGAAGTCGATCATACAAATGAGACTTTTTTTTTTTTTTTCAAATGTCATCCACCACGCCTACAGACAAGAAAAACAGAAGAATTATTCATAGCAGTCACATTTCAATCTTTTATTTTCTTATCTCAGCTTTTGCCTAAACCTGGTATGCAAATAACATATTTAGCGAAGCTAAAATGCAAAACAGCTTACTGAGATTTTGCTATTAGTTTGTTTTAAAGAGATTTTCATCTTTAAACATACAGTATATTCATCTCATTAAACCCAAATTTGCAGGGGTTGTTGAGGTGTGCACCGAGGCTGATCATACTGCAGTTTTTGAGTCTCATGAATGGATTAAAATTTTTTGCCCTCTCTCA